AGTTATTTATACGTGTGTACCTAAAGGTATAATTTACGAAATTTATTTTTTACAATAAGTTTTTCTCTCTTCCTTATTCAGTCACGTTTACGAACAAGGTTTTATTTTAATAGCCGGCCTTCTTGTCACTAACCCTATGTTTTCCCAACGCGCACGCGACCACCGGAATTCGGCAAAATAGTGAAGCGAACTGTCCATAGACAACCACATTTGTAGACTTATTATTTAATTACCAAAAGAGTGGACGTACAAAGAGTATATTTACCCTACCTAATATTTCCTCCGTATTCTAAATCTACTTCATTTTCTCATCCTTTCCTTGTCCGAAAAGAGTGGAAAGGACTGTAACCTCTGTCTCACATACTCATCTATTAACGCGGAATTGTTTCCACTTAACTCCCGTTTTCTGTACGGTCGTAGTATCGGGCGAACCAGCCTGTTCGTGCTAAGATGGTGAAGCAAGTTCTACTAGTTACATTATTATTTAGTCTCTCTTTGATTCCTTTGAGCTTAAACGGAGGTGTGCACACTCCTCGATTTTTAGTTGTGCAACTAAACAGTTGAATTGGCTGGTAAACAATCGACAAACGCACAATTGTGCGATAGATTAGTCAAATACGCCCGCTCTAAATGGATTTTGATTTTACTTTATGTTTTAGCCTACGAGTTCGATTACGCTAATGTTGAGAAGTGGTCAGCTATCGATATAGGCGTAGCGAAAGTCGATGGTGAATTTGATTTTTCTAAGGGTGATTGTTCGTTCAGACCGCAGGCTATAGGCATTAATTATGATCCTAAATATCAAGCACCTGGCGTCGATGCGATTGTCTTGGGCTGGGGACATAAATCAGTATGGAAACAAGTACGTAGACCATTTTTACTTAATGTCAATTTTTAAGTTATTAATCTAGGGATAATATAAAACGATATGTAGAAATCAAATAAGGATAAATTCTTCCGACATTTATGTAAGTAAACTTGTATGTACAGTCGCGAAAACTCACAATGTTTCATTCTATGAAAAATTGCTTTGTTCATTGTAACAAGACCAACTCCGTCTCTTTCTAAAAATAACTAATTCGATTGCAAAGAGCCGTGTATCACTAATCGACTCTTTTTCGTACAGTCATTTATAAGCTACATTGTATTAATTTTTGTTCCGCGTCTCGTTTTAAGATGTTCAAACGGTTGTAGCTTTTCAGTCGGAACACCGCCAGTTTTGCCCGGTTGTACTTGTAAGTTAGATAATTAAGAATTG